GAAGGCAAGTAGCAAGAACATTCTTGTGCACTATTCTTCCGCGCACCCTATCCGCGCTAAGCGCGTTATTAGGACCATGTTGCGCATAGCTAGAACAGTGTCGTCTGACGATACCCTCAAAGCCGCATTAGTTCAAAAAGCTCTCCAAATAGCGCAAGCTATCGGATATAAATGTAACAGAGTTGCTATGGTACGTCACAGCGGTAGACTGCACAACGAAGCCCAAGACAAGAAGGTGCCACATTTTGTATCCTATTCATTTCGGACGTTTTGAATAGTGCAATAAGAGCGTGCATGCGCAAAGCAGGTCTGCAGGAGTCTTGCGAGTTGTAGAATTGCCACCCCAAACTTGAAACGGCGCTTGTTACGCAACAGAGCATACGATACGGCCTGCGCAACACCAGACTGCATAATCTGCGAAACGAGCAGGCCGGGAGACTGTATGCGCTCAGGCGTTATCCACTTCATAACCTGTGAACTATGCGGGCGCGAGTACATTAGAGAAACGGGGAGGCCACTGTGCACTAGGATAAAGGAGCACATGGATGGGATGCGCAAGTCAAAAGTATCTACACCACTAGGTACTCATCGGATGCTCCAGCATAATGGTATAGAATTTGATATTAGAGTGTCAATTCTGTCGCGAGAAGCAGAGGTCGCGGGACGCAAGAGGCTAGAAGCCTCTTGGATTTTGTCTAGAAATCCTCGAATGAACAGGAAAGATGAATGCACTGCAATAACTAACGAACTCGCGCCTTTCCTGGGTCATGCGGGTTTGACCTACAACCGCAGCAACTCGGGAACCTAGCTCACTAATTATTCATACGTTCGTCGGTGGTGGTCCGTGACCGGCACTCGGCAAAGTCTGAGGTGGGGCTCCTATGCAGCATCGCGTTTCAGTTTCCTGACAACTTTTGTCTGTTCCTTGCATTTGATGAGACAATTGGGAGTATGAATCTCATTTGTTCCTCACTTACAGGCTCCGCCGAAGGCGAGTTGGCCGAAACGTCAGCCAAAATAAAAGTTGTAACAATCTTGGTGAAGGCTTAACATCTCGAAACAAGCCCTCTTTCTACAGTTTTTTATTGATATGTTCAATCTGAGTGCCGCGAAGCCTCATTTTTGCATGTACTTTTTAATCCGTAGATTTGACCAGTTTAAAAGATGGTGATTTTCTTTATGAAAATTATGAAAAAAGTTGCACAGCTGCTAACTTGATTTCCCCTTTCAACCAAAGCTTATGGCCATTCATTCTACATGGCATATACTTCGTACTTGCTAAGCCCTTCCTACAAAGCAACAGCAGAAACGCCATACCGAGGTTAGCAGCGCTGCGTGGACGAGGAAACAAATATAATGCTTATGATATCTGGGCCGGTAGTAAATTACTACCGGCCCAGATTACTACTAGTAACCCCCCCCCCCCCGATCTGGCGGCAGGTCTCGTCGGCAGGTCGCTGGCACCTTTTCCGTGAGGTGGCCAGAAAGTGAGATCCCAAATTTAGGCCGTCCCAGGCCTTTTTCCAAAAAATTTTCTCGATAAAGATGCCGCCTCAACTCTGTAGAAAACTCCATGACAGTCTGCGGTCCCAGAACTCCTCTTTTAGGAAAATATCTGGAAGCGCAGGAGGAGCTGCCGGCAACTTCGCGATGTCAGTTGCCGGCAACCTGCCGGCAGCTCGTCGAAATCCGCGAGATGGCAGCTGCCGGCAGGTCAGAGAGCACGGGAAATAGCGTGCTCTTTCGAGAGAGGGAGCTGCCGGCATCTCGACGTGCCCCTACCACGTCGAGGTGGTGGCACCTTTTCCGACGGCGTCTGTGAGATTGCGAATTGCGGCGATATCATACAATTTACGTCAGGCGAAAAAATCAAAAAATTCTACTTTCCATCCAAAAACCTTCATTTTTCTCAACATATAAGTTTTTCTTTTTTAAAACGACGACTTTCTTACAGAGAAAAAATCTGGTAATGCCTTAGAACCGTAAGGAACACCATCTTTTTTGCAATCGCTTCTAAATCTTATTTGCACCGATTTCGCCCCTCTCTCGCTCATATCAATCAGCTGTTCTTTCAGGTCAAAGTCTCTCGCGCAATGTATCGATCCCTCTTACAGGCGGCCATTTACCAGTGCGTTCCTCCTATGGCTGGTGCAAACCGCAATGGCTGACCGGATGGTCGAATGGTTAACGTGGTGGCACTTCAAGTTAACCCACGTATCGTCCTTTCACCCCGTTGTAGCGGGCACGCAGCCTCAGACGCTCTCCCGCGAAGCGGTTTTGACCGCGGCGCAGGGTCGATACGGCCGATCAGCTGTTTATCCGTCCGCTGCCACAGGAATCGGTAAGTTTTTGATAATTCCTCTATATTTTTACTTGCAGGTGGCAGCAAAAGGATGGAAGGTAAATTGAGAAAGTCTGTTAAGTTTATTTATGAGTGAAATATTGATTACACGAACGAAAATTCGAAAAAAAACTGGTTGACATAGCGCTTATATTGGGTAGTCAGCTTTTTCAGCAAACAACTCACTTATAAATAAACTTAAAGACTTTCTCGACTCACCTTCCATCCTTTTATTGCCACCTGCAAGCAAAAATATAGAGGAATTATCAAAAACTTACCGATTCCTGTGGCAGCGGACGGATAAACAGCTGATCGGCCGTATCGACCCTGCGCCGCGGTCAAAACCGCTTCGCGGGAAAGCGTCTGAGGCTGCGTGCCCGCTACAACGGGGTGAAAGGACGATAGGTTCGACAGCCCGCGGGGTAGCAATTTTGCGGCTGTCTGCGTCATCAAAATTTAATGTGCGAAATGATTGCGTGCTAAGGTTACATAAGATTATTAAAACTTACAATCACTCCGCGAGCTGCCGGCGGAGTTGGCATCTTTCCGCAATGTGTGCCAACTTGCCGGCATCTATGATGCCACCAGGTCGGGGGGATTACTACCGGCCCTGGATACAGTGCAACACTGCTCAAGTTTGGAAGAAGATCATACATACTTCCACAAGTGTGCTCATCATTCTAATCGACAATAGATAGGGTTTCTTACGTTCCTTTATCTTATATATAAAGCTGAATGTCTGTTTGTCTGTGTGTATGTATGTATGTGTGTACGTATGTTCCGAATAGAAAATTCCATTTCTGAACCGATCCGAACTAAACTTGGCACACATACACTTCGGGCCCCGGCGGGTGTCATAGGCTACTTTTCGTCATCGATCGATATCGATTTTTATCGATTTTTTTGCTGAGTTCACCTACGGGGCTGGGAGTTGGCAAAGGGGGTAATCGAGCATGGGGATTCCGAATACAATATTGGTTTTCAGGATTATCGATTACTTTTATCGATTTTATCGATTTTTTTGCAAAGTTTGAGCTACGGGGCTGGGAGTTGGCACAGGGGGGTAATCGAGCATGGGGATTCCGAATACAATATTGGTTTTCAGGATTATCGATTACTTTTATCGATTTTATCGATTTTTTTGCAAAGTTTGAGCTACGGGGCTGGGAGTTCGCACAGGGTGGTAATCGAGCATGGGGATTCCGAATACAATACTGGTTTTCGGGATTATCGATTACTTTTATCGATTTTATCGATTTTTTTGCAAAGTTTGAGCTAGGGGGCTGGGAGTTGGCACAGGGGGGGGTAATCGAGCATGCTGATCATCCCCAAGGGGGGGGGGGGGTGATCAGCATGCTCGATTACCCCCTGTGCAAACTCCCAGCCCCGCAGGTCAAACTTTACAAAAAAATCGATAAAATCGATAAAAGTAATGGACGATCCTGAAAACTAATATTGTGTTCGTAATCAGCATGCTCGATTACCCCCCTGTGCAAAATCCCAGCCTCGCATGTCAAAATTTACAAAAAATCGATAAAATCAATAAAAGTAATCGATAATTCTGAAAACTAATATTGTATTCTCCTCATGCTCACTTCCCCCCCCCCCTGTGCCAACTCCTAGCCCTGTAGGTGAGCTCTGCAAAAAAATCGATAAAAATCGGTAAAGTCGACATCGATCGATAACGAAAAGTGGACTGTGACACCCGCCGGGGCCCGAAGTGTATGTGTGCCAAGTTTGGTCCGGATACGGCGGAGCCAGGTAAGCCAGCTAGTCTACTATACGGACAACTTTTCGTTGTTACATGGCGAAGCAGTGTAAATTGTTCCTGGAGAACGAAAAACACTTTTATAAGAATCTTTGCCTTCCTCATCCTGATAGAATATTAAGACGTATAAGCAAAAGTTCGTATAAGTAGCGCAGAGTCTGAGATGTTTGTAAACCTTTAGAGCATGCTCTCGAAGATTGGCCGAAATAGAGGGTGAATTTGACTTGCGCAGATGGTGTTAACATTGCTACCAGGCTTTGCTTGGGACGGAAAGTTTCTAAAAATTAGATCACTATTGATTACCTTCCACAATTACTAGGTTGTCCCGCAAATGCCCTTTTTTTAAAAAGCAAGTTGTTTTTGTTTTTGTAGTAGACTTAGGGTACCTTTCGTTAGAGCGGAGCATCTCTACAAAAACCAAAATTTTTCGACTACCCTAACGCGGGCCCCCAACTTGGTTCTCATACAATAAACACAAGTAGTATTCATAGATGCATTTGCTGATTTTTCGCGCGTGGAAAGTGAGGAAAAAAGACAGTCTAAAAATGAGATCCGCCCATTTCTTAGCTCCTTTCACAATGATCATACCTGCAAGTTGATAATATTATACGTTTGTGGCTGCCCTGATAGTTGAAATATATCAAGTTTGACGTAAAAGCTTCGGAAAAGTGCCATTTCTCTATTTTCAGACTATTCATTCTCAATTTCGAACCCCGAAAAAATTCAGCAAAATCCCTCAAAGATCCAGGCGGATTTCGGCGGTTATTTTGTGGAGTTTGCTTCGCTCTATCGAGTGGAATCTAAGTTCAGAGACAACAGCTTGATCTATCTATCAAGGAGATTTTTTGGGACAAGCTAGTACATTTGAAGCAACACAAAATGATCTTTCAGGTTGACTGAGTTGTCTAACTATGAACAATACAAACCACTGGGTAGAAAAGGTGATTTTTACTACTACCGATACAACGAGGGATTACAAAACCAAGAGTAAGTGTTTTAACGGCTTCTATGGGCAATCAGAAAAGAGCTTCTTGAAGAAAAATGAGCTTTAATTTTTGGGGGTGTGAACAGAAATTTTCGAGATTACTGGTTTAATACCTGGTCATGATTTTTTCTTTTTCTCATGTGACAAGTTAGCAAACGAAACAATACATTCAATCATTGACACTTAACTAGTCAATACGAGGCGATGCCTTTTAAATTGATTAGAGTTTATATCAAAGAAACGGTGCACAAAAAATAGAATAAAACAATAACAGTTTGCCTGCCACTCGTCTGAGTTCAAAGTTAGTGTTATATGAGAAGTGCCGATTCCATCAAGTCAACTGGGCCGTAGAAATCCCCCTAATTGTTGCGACTCCAAAATATCGCACGTACCCAAAACGTGTCGTTTCGGCCGCGATTCGTCCGGGGGCCAAAACAAAACGTTTCTCTTACCGCTGGACGTCGTGACTGCAGGACGTGCTGTCCTCGTGCGCAAGGACGAGCAGTCGTGAACGTCTTTATTTGAGGGGCACACAGAGAAAATGATGCGTCCACCGTGGAGATGCGAAAGGCGCAACCGATTAGGGGTCGAGAGCTCCGAGTTTGTCTTGTGCACAAGGACTGTAGACACACAGCATTTAGTTGTTCGAACGATGTCGCAAACCACCGTTCTGTCTGCCGCATTTTTTTCGTTCGTTTCCATAGTTGGAATCATGAAATCTATAACGCAGTATCAATGCGAAATAAGATTCTGTTCTAGTTGGTAGATCTTCAAAGTACACGGCTCCGGCTGCTGCTTATTTTGAGTTTCGTTTCCCACCATTCTTCCTACTTACCGAATCAGACGTTTATGCTTGACCAGGCTTCCCCTTTGCATCGTCATGGGCTGCGTCGCAGAAACAGCAAGTGAGAAGGGGGAGGGGTAGGAAGTATCTAATAAGAAGTGAAAAATTGGATGCACGAACGAGAAGAAACAGCTTGCCAGAAGAGCTTGTACGTGTATATAGTCAAGTTGATCTTCCGGTATATACAGTGCACATGCAGAAGCGGCAGCACTAGGCGTAAACGGTTGCCGCAGAGCGAGAAGTTTTAGACAATTCCAGTGTTTTCTCTTATCATTCTTTATTTTTCTGGTATCCTCTAATCAACTAGGAATAGAAGGCAAGTTTGAAAGAGCTTTTGTTGTTTGGACCAGTCATATCGCCGTTTGAGTTCAAGTGTAACTCCTGAAAGCTGCATCGCATTAAGTATTTGTAAAGTAACCTTTTCCTTCATCTCTTTCGCATCAAATGTTTCTTTGCCGTGCCCGTAAGGCTCTTCAAAGAAAAACAAACCAACGGTGGATCTTCGTTCACCTGGTGGTAAGGGAACATCAATCAAGATGAAGAAACCTACTAGTTTTGTAAAGAAACGCTTTCTGATAGAAAAGAGATGGAAGAAAGGGTTATGTCACAAACATGTGCGATTTATCATAAGGTACATATGAAGTTAAACGACGATATGACTGATCAAAACAACAAGAAATGTCCCTTAACTTATCTTCTACTCCTAATCAATTGAGGCATACCTGGAAAATGATGACTGAGCAAAATTAACACCAAATTTACCTAACTTCCTGCTCTGCGGAAATTTTCACGCGCAAGTGCTGCCGCTTCTGCAAGCGCACCATGTTTACCGAAAATCTATTCGACTGTGCCTATCGATTTGACAAAATCAAAATGATGGCCCAGGAGGAGTAGCTGTATCGTTGTTGCTTTCAGTAGCTAGTAATGGTCATTCAATATAGATTGTGCTCTTCCTCCTACTTATTCAAAACTTTTTTGAACTCTGAGAGGCCAAAGGCATTTCCGTAGTAAAGAAAAACAGGATATACGTCAAAAATGTCAAAAAGAATAGTAAAAAGGCTGAATATACCCTTTGGAGATGATTCAAAATCTGTCTACGATTTGTTCAATGGCCTCAGTAAATAAAAAATAGTCATTTTCTTGAGAAAATGATGCTTCACCAATTTCTCTTTTGGACAAAAAACATTCAGCTCTGAACGCAGTTCTTTACCAGTAGGAAGAATGTCGTTCCTACACATTGAAGATAAAGTCTTAGTTTTTCTCGCAAGTTTCACTATATGATATTAAGCTCCTTCGGCTTATGAAGTGCAAAACACAAGTTCAACAAAGTCCCTAAAAAAAGTAAAAATTGTGAAAATTCACGCAAAATAGCAATTTCTTTGAATGACGCAAACATAAGAAATGCAGAAATTCAAAGCTTTTTCACTTTAGATGGTTTAGCAAAAGATGATTACTAGATAAAGGAATGTTAAATGGAGTTTTCCAATAACGCAAATTACTTGTGCGCCTTCACAGCTTTTGAACAAGGGATGATGTCTACAAAATGATCAGACTTTTAACTCAGTCGATTTCTAAACAACATTGCTAAGCGTGTTTTTTTTTTTCATTGCAATGGTGACGACTAAACAAGCACCTGTTGCAGCGTTGTCTATCAACAAAAAACGCTCGAAGACGATGGTGAAGTATTTTTGGATCCAAATACTATGTCTACTGATGGAACAACATCAGTCACGTTTGTTTACCTCTTTTCCGGTTTTGGAAGACTAGCATTTGTATGTTGATACAGTGACATGAAGTGGAGTATAGACGGTTCTGTCCTTGCATATGTTGTCAACGAAAAGGGCAGTGATCAATCCAGCATTAAGGTAAAGTATCTTGTTTTTTATGGCTTGGAACAAAGTGATTGTGAGTTAAATGGAGCTTTAAGTTTCGCGACGTATACAAGCGAGATCTTACGGACGTCATTGAACGTGTCAAATTTCCAAGTCCCGCATGGTTGAAAGACAATTCGGGAATCTTTTACAGCGCCTATCCTAAAAGCAAAGTTTGACAATACGTTAATCGCGTATACTCTGGTGTGATCGTATGTTGCAGGAAGTTGCGTCAAATTCAACACAAAAAGATGAAAATCAAGCAATTTACTTTCATCGCTTGGGGACTAGCACAGCAAAAGACGTACTTGTTTACAACACCAATCATACTATTGTGTAAGTTGTTTTCCTGTTTGGATACCAAGGTTTTGGCCATACTATCCCTTGATCACGCGAGTCCCATGTATAGTATGTGCTGCAGTTTCTCAGATATACGGTTTCCTGATCCCATAAAACCCAGGAACTTCCACCTTTACTATGTAGCTCTCTCATTCTGACCCAAAATGTCTTTCTTACTTTGTTGGAAAGAAGGCCTAAATTGTCAACCTAGATGTTCATAATTATCATCATCTGCAACAATGGCTGGGATCTTATAAGCGTAACAGGATTTTCTAGTGACCATCCAAGAAACTACTCTCAGCAACTTCAAGAGATCATCTGGATTGAGGTGCTCACATGGTGACTATGTTACTGCTGCTCAGCACTCGGCTCGAAAGAAAAAGTCCGGGAATTATGTACAGTGTTGCATGCGTACGTAAACAAACTCTCAGAAACCTCCATTTTCCGGGAGATTCCCGATGGAACCAGTAAAAGACGTCACTGATAACAGGTTTCGAACAGTGGTGGTCAGAGGGGGGGGGGGCCTCCCGAGAATGGATCGCGAAATCTTGAAAGTCATTTATATGGGTGACAAAAAGGTGCAAGTGACTTGTTCATACTTATTGAAGCTTTTTGAAAATTCAACTCAGCCTTGTAAAAAAATTTTTTTCCAGGGACGTTGGGATCACGGGTTCACAAAAATTTTTGGAAGTATCCCAACAATTTTTCCGGAGTGCGTGGCTGACGCTGCACACTTTCACTCAAAGAATTTTTTTGTTGCCCTTCCGGCCCCCGGTCCGAAATCCTGGGACCGCCACTGGTTTCGAACGTCTACAAACAGTGGATCACCTGCATTATAACATCTTGGAATTGAGTTTTATTAAAATCCAGATATCAGTCTGCAAACTTATAGGCAGCGTTCCTCAAAACATGACCAAACATATGCTTACCTGAGCCTTTCCTGCTCATTCCCATTCCGCAGCCGGCAAAGCGCGGAGATGTCAAAAATGAACTTTCTTTGATCTCTCAGACTTAAATCACGTGAAGATCCGAATTTTGCCAAGGTTAAGACACAGAATAACTGTGAAATCCTGTGGCACTGCGTTGTATGCGCTTTAATCTTGCGGTTCGGAATCTCTGTAAAGGCGACCTATCGTAAAATCCGCCATTTTCGGAGCATATTTTAGGCTTAGTAGACTCTTTTTGCTCTTATTCTCAATAGTCGCATGGGTAGGGGCTGAGCTCGGCACGAGATGGCTTTCCGACTGCGCCAAAAACGAAGTCCCCTCTCGCAAAATTTTATGAACTCCCTTTGATTCAAAATCGAAAACGTCGACTAAAAAAGCCTAACCCAACTTATGCTTTTTCAGACCACAAAAACGATACCCCTTTGCTTATGTTCCAAAACAATATCCAGTCTTAGCCACCTGGGCCGAGCCCTGGGTGAGGGGTCTACCACAGTGTTGGCAAATTTGGAACACTTGGAATTTCTAAATGTCACTCTGTTTCGCCAGTAACGATTCCAAGTTTCGATATTACGTGCAAACACTGACGTCAACCGAAAAGATCGTGGATAGCTAAAGCGATGGACAGGGAAAAATGAAAACTTCTGGGCTGGGCCCGCACGTCAAGTGAAGCCCGACCATCTAAGTACCTGAAAAGGGAAGATTGTTTGGTCGAAGCTGCCTTTCTGAATGAGATGTATACTTTATTAAAAAGCGTAGCATGCTGATTCCAATACTGCCTTCCTTATCTGCAGAGAATCCATGGAAGAGGGATTATGAGCGTTTTTTAAAATTAGAAAATGAATGTGCATTTTGGATGAAATGAGTTGCTAGAATCTTATTAGCCCCCAAATAATGCAGCCAAGTGTAAAATCTTTCTATCTTAGAGTATTTTTCAAATAAAATGCCTTAATGATTATTACTGCTCCATTGAACAGCTAGAAAGAGTATTACGGCTATTTTTGTCCTACTTGCACATTATATTCTTTGCTCCAATAAGCGCTTATAACTCCTTGTCCATAAACGTTCTGCAGATAAGGATGGCAGATTTGGAATCACCATTTTGTGTCCTTCGATATGGCATACATTTATCTAACAAGGAAGGATACTTGGTGACCGTGGCCTTTCGCAAAGAGATGTATACCAGTAGATGCGCCTTGAAACACTGATTCCAAATCTATCATTACATTATCTGCTGTGCGACTCTCTGAACGAAACTGTGGACTTTTCTCCATGTCGATTTTACAAGATTTAGGCAGTCAGAATCGTAGTTTCCAGGCTTTTTAGACTCTGATATATCGGCGACAATTTTCCTCAGCGCAAAACTTTAGTTTATTTGGACGCTCTTTTGTAGTGCGTAAGCGAACACTTTAACGATATTGGTGGAATTTGCATCAAAAACAGTGCAAGTGGCAAAAAATGTTCATAACTTCTTTCAAAAGAGTGCATAGCAGATATCGAAAGCAGATTTGGAATCAGCGCTTCAAGATACATTTAATGGTGTACGTTTCATTTCATAAGGCCACGGTCACCAAGTGTCCTTACCTTGTAAGACCACTACGATTAAACATGCATTCCTTGTAAGTAAATAAGTAGTCAAAGAGGTCTCGTGCAGACCGGCAACATATGCCTAATCTGCGAAGTTCCTGCGGGATTTCTAAAAATTTCTAGTTTTGAAAACTTTCAAAGATGATTTCCTGACTGCGTTGTTCTTATGTACTTTTCTCGGAAGGTTGTCACTTCCAGGCTTCGCATTAGCTAAGTTTTGACTGACGCTCTCGGGAATTGAGGCAGATTAGCTTATTCACATAAATGCCTGTGAACTGTTTAATGAAAAGACAAAAGTTTCCGCTTCTGAGTGACTTCAGTTGCAAACAGACATCACAAAATTTACGAGAATATTAAAGCCAAACCTCAGGATTGCTTGTTTGCAGTCAAGCATTTGTCACGGATGATGGATTGTATATGATAATACGCATCGATCCCAACTTTACTCAAAATAATATGCTGTACTACTATAATCTGACCGGTTTCGATAGCAGCCGAGGTGCGATAACGCCTAAACCACTTTTTGAAAAACTGGATGCAAAATATGATGTTAGTTGAGCTTACATATGTCCCTGCACTAAAATCAACTAAAGATGTCATCTGTTCAGTATATCGACCATGATGATGATTCTATGTTGATACTCACAAATCATGAAGCACCTAAATTCAAATTGCTCCGTGTGTCACTAAAAAATGGATCAGTCTGGGATGTTGTACCCGAACACCAAAAATTTATTCTGGATAGCGCTAAAGTTGCCGCACACAATCGCCTTGTCTTGTTGTATCTTGATGACGTTAAGGTAAGGATTACCTTTTTTGCAGGTCTAAAATTTCTAAGTAAGTAAGTAAAAGTAAGTAAGTAAGTAAAATTTACTTTTTCCAGCACACTCTTCATGTGCACGATCTTCAGGATGGAGCTTATATGCACTCGTTGAATTTAATAGAAGGGTATTATTTATATTCATTAGATTTTGAGATACTATTCTAAAGATCACTCTGATCAGAGTTAAGCAAGTATTTTTTATTTTTGCTATTTCTTAAACAGTCCAAATAAGTGCTTTCTGCCCTAACTGTGTACAAAGTATGATAAAAATGCTCACCGCACTCGTGTATACCGGGCTGTTTTACAGCTTCCCACATTTTTGATACCTTTTCAGAGACCTTGATTTAAATGGAAAACTATTCTTCAATAACCCTTTTGTTTTAGTTTTCTTGTATCTGCATTCTTTTGTGGAGTTATCTTCTTCAAATCCGTGCTTTCAGAAACAAGAAAACAAAACTTGAGCATTTTTACATCTTCAAGATTTTCGTTTAGCAAAATTGGGTTTGGGACATTTATTGATTTGAAAAAAGAAAGAGTGATTGCAATTATTATCAGCAAAATAATTGGCAAGAATCAAAACAGGCATGGCTTGCATTTCCAGATAAACCAAATTCAGTGGGTGCGCTTTAGATTTTTGCAGTGCATTAGGCAAACAATTTGTGTTATATGCAACTCTTCAACGCTTAGCTGGCCAGTACGTAATGAGCAAATTGTGTGCTTCTCGATCACTATAAATTTTTTTCCACATAGTAGAGATTCCCAAAAACTGGCAATCTCTGGCTTACGAAATCTTTTTTATTGGTTGTACACATTATCAACGATAACGGTAACGGTTTGATATATATAACAACCAAATCCGTGCCTAAGAAAATGCTGATTATCGATAAATATTTGTCACTGTACTCACAAATGTCTTTTTTAATTTGTGGTAATCCAAAGTAGGAAAAGGGTTGAAACATACACCAAATAAAGGCTGCATGTAAGTTGATTTAGATTCAAATTTCAGCAGCATTGACTATGTTGTTGGCAAAAAGAGCCAGGATGAGATATTTTTCGTCCTCGAAACTATGATAATCCCCTCCATTGTTTATCGTGTGGATTTTTCTTCAAACACGTCGTCTCCCAAGTTAGAGGAATTACGGCGTTCTGTAGTCGAAGGTATAAATGAGGAAGATTTTCTAGTACAGCAAGTGTTCTTCAGTAGCAAAGACGGAACAAAGGTGCGTATGAACTTTTCAAAAATGTAGAAAGTTTTACAGCTTTTTCAGGTCCCCATGTATATAGTTTCTTCAAAGAATTCATCGCAAAGTGGTGACGCACCCGTTCTACTTTATGGCTATGGCGGTAAGTAATGTGAGCCAAAGCTAGATTGGGGTATTCACTATTTAGTAAAACTTTGCTGATTTGGCTTTGGATTCCACACGAGCGCAGTAAAGGCACCTGCGAATATTTGTTATCTGCTCTCAGATATAGAGGCGGAGTCGTAGCAGCTCAAAGCGTGATGTTACGAGAGAGCACGAAAAGATATAATGTAGAGGTTCAACAAGTTCACACGCCATCAAAAAAATCCGCCCTCAATGCACTGGAAGTCGATCATGCTGATGCTGGATGCATACTGATCTGGAAGTTCCGGAACAGTTCCACCATTGTTCTCGCACTGTGCTGGAACTGCAGGATGCCCTTGCGGCCGCTCATATGAGGTTTTGAGAGGCGCGAAATGACAATTTCTGATTTTTTGGACGGTTTTCAAGCTGTATTTTTCTCGTTTTCGTCTCATTCTTGTACCTCGCTTGCTCTCGTGATGAAAAAAGCTTAGAGAAGGAGAAGTAATGAGCGCTATTTCGTTATGTACACCAGGCTGAAAGTCGTTACAAGTTGATATGCTTCTACTCGTGTACATTTCTCCAAAATCGAAATTCATTCATCAAAAGCGGACGGTAATCAGGAACGAACGAACAAGCAGTCTGAGTTGTGGGAAGAAATGAGGCTGAAAGCGTAAAAACCAAATCCTCTAATATAAAAAAAATTGAAACCAGAACCCCTCACTTTCGAGGAAAATCGTTACGGAGCCTGAATACCGTACCTTTGTTATAAATTTGTGCAAACGACTTGTTTAAACTTGTAAATAATCGATATTTTTTAAAATTTTTTGAAAATCATTTCAGCCTTATCAGAAAACTTTTCTGGGGCGTGGCTGACGCTACGCCCGCTTTTTTTTTAAATTTTCGGGGTTATGAGCCCGCGAAAATTCTGGAAAGCATATCGAAAAAATTTTTGGAGTGCGTGGCTAACGCCACACATCTTCATTAGAGAAAAATTTTTGTCCGCCCCCCTCCTCCGGCTCGAAATCATGGGTACGCCACTGGTGTCAAAATATGTCCCATTTAAAGGCCAGATAGTGTCCCTTTAGTGAAAAAATTCAAAACTCTAAAAGTACCTTCGCTTAAGAGCTTATCCTCCTTTTACCCCTGGTACTACTCTCCTCAATTCCATCTTCAGTGGTTGGTAAGTTATGAGCGCTCAAAATTAGTGTACAGTTAAAAACGCTGCTGCTTTTTGAATGGAGTTTTTCTTGGTTCTTACGGCACACATATATAGTTTTGTGCAGCTTTGAGTACCTACAAAACGGTAAACGCATATATGAATGCTTGCAGATCATTTGATGTTATAAGGATTCAGCTTTGTGAAAGTAATCAAAGCAGTCTAGAATTTTCACAAAGTGTTGCTGTGGGGCGACTATTTGAGGGACAAGTATTATGGATGAAATGCCAGGAGTACGTATTGCGGTGGATGTGCATTACTGTAACAGCACACGCAAGGTTTCGTTCCCTTCTTTTGCTTACAAGGAAAGGATACTTGGTGACCGTGGCCTTTTGAAATGAAACGTAAACCATTAGTTGCATCTTAAAGCGCCGATTCGAAATCTGTTTTTATTATCCGCTGTGCGCTCTTCCGAAAGAAGTTATGGACATTTCTTATCACCAAAATTTGCACTGTTTCTGATGCAGGATTCACCAATATCGCTAGAATGTTCGCTTACGCTACAAAAGAGCGTACAGATAAAGCAAAGCTTCACGGTAAGCTAAGGAAAACTGTCACCGATACATCAGAGCCTAAAAAGCCTGGATAGTTACGATTTTGATTGCATAAATCTCGCAAAATCAATATGGAAAGAAGTCCATAACTTCGTTCAGAGGGTCACACAGCAGATAATACACATAGATTTAGAATCAGCGTTTCAAGACGCACCTACTGGTGTACATCTCATTGCAAAAGGCCACAGGTCACCAAGTATCCTTCCCTCGTCAGGCTAAATGCGCCGCAGGTGTAGCGGGCTCCACGACAGACATAAACTGCGCCATCAAAATTGCATCTATCAAGCAGCGTAGATGATATACAAAAAAAGTACGTAGGAAGTATTATATGAAAAATGATTAATGAAAAGGGGAACGATCGAAGTGTTAAATTACCTTGCAAGAGGACATCACTTGGAATGTAATTTTGGGACCCTAAGTAAAACATTGGCTAAGCGCTAGCGCGAATGAATAGCGCTAGCGGGTCGTAGTAGGTATGAAACCATGCAAACACTAGGTAAGTCGTCTGTTTATACACCTTGGGGTCCAGTTTGATGTCCCGCCGTTGGTACACCATCTGAGCTGCCGCTTAGGCAGGTCACGGCCCCAAAATTACTCTCCACATGAAGTCCCCATATATGGCCAGATTTGCCTGGAAGCTGCCTTTGAGATTTTGTCCCCACTACCGTAAAATACAGAATTACGTTTATTTTGACCCTTTACCATGGAAAGCTACTACAGGAAGAAAGCGCAAAAACAGTATTAGCTGAGCGAGCGCGAACGCTACGCGCGCATATTTTCGCTATTGTCAATCCTGCGTTTCATGCGCTTTGCGGCTAATAAAGCGCGTTTACGCCCAAAGATATTGCGCCTTCGTCATGCAGCGGCCTACACCTATGCCCTAACTTTGTGAAAGGGCCCTACAATGCAGAAGAAGTATGGTACTCGTGATCAGCGTTGGATGAAGCCTTTTTTGAGCCAAGTTTTAGCGAAGTACGTTGTTGTTTTGACCCTCTACCACTCAGACACTCACTCCGGCGGCACGCGCGCCGTATGCGCGCGGGCGCTCATATCCCCCACCACCGGCCGTCACATAGTGCCCGCCGCGAGTACATCGGCTCCCCGATTGCCGAGAGGGCGGACTCGGGCGAGCGTATCAGCGATGCGGTTGCCCTGTATTGAAACATAACCGATAAATTGATTATCGGTTGACCATTGGGAGCCAGTGGTAAATGGTACACGCGCGACACTACGCCCGTGACCAATTATCTTGCTGGTCATAATTGCAGTGCGGCGGCGCGCCCTAGTTGAAAATGCTATAGGCCGTCCGCGCAGGGCGCGGAGAGTGCGCAAGGTGTGTATTGCGCGTCACTCCTCTTTCCCCGTGCACTCTCGCCGCCTGTGTTTCTCTGCGCTCAACTATCTTCACTGGACGCAACAGCGTTGCTCTCCGCGCGCAGCGCGGACGGCCTATAGCGGTGCGCAACTTATCGTCCTTCCACCCCGTTGTAGCGGGCACGCAGCCTCAGACGCTCTCCCGCGAAGCGGTTTTGACCGCGGCGCAGGGTCGATAGTTTTCAAATCCAAAATTTGGAAACTTCAGGTTCATATTTGAGAAACTCAGAAAACTCAGAAATCAAGTGAAAAGCTGGGAATTTCGAAAAAAGTTGTATCCTGTTTAGGATTCTCCATATCCTTGATGCCCAGATTCGAACCAGATACAATGCTCTTTGTAAAGCACTTCAACGGCATATTTGCATCGGCAAATATCCGCGGTGGAGGGTAAGTAAAATGTAGATTCACCGCAACTTTCGCACAAAATTACCTTTGGATTTGAGTAATTATGTATTTGTTCCACCAGTTGACGAATTTAATTGACCGAATTTGAGTTGTTCTCAGTCGTTGCTAATGGTGCTCTTATATTGAGTCAAGTTGTCGGTTTTGTGAAATCTGTCATACAGACATTTTCAACTGTACACATTCTAGGGAGTACGGCGAAAAGTGGCATGAGGCCGGAATGCGCGAACACAAGCAAAATGTATTTGACGATTTCATCTCCGCTGCGGAGTACCTTCTCGAAAACAATTATACCACTAACAGAAAGTAAGTCATTCTGCTGTGATCACAGAAGGTGATCTGATGGCCATATTGCTCAAACTTGAGAAAATGCAGCCTTTTGGGTTGCGTCTACTATCGAGCGCAAAATTCCATAACAGCTGGGACTAACTACGACCGTAACTATAATTTCGACTCAAAAGTTATGCGCCTTTTCGGGAGCAGCATGTGCACTTATAGACGGCCGCGAATTGCCATTCAAATAGAGGTCACGATTTTGTAACCCAATGAAAAAGGGATAGAATACTGAAGAACTACAGAAAAACACGTCTCACTTTGTTTAATCCACAATTTCTGAAGGACCATTGGAGAACTTGATCAGAATAATGAAATTGTGCTTACGAGCGAATTTCCGCTAAGATATAGTAGGGAAGCGTACATGTGACTTCTGTACCTATGTGGTGATTATCAAATCACCCTCCGCTTTGATGTCGCTACGCGACAATGGCATCGGCAAACGAAAGAGTCAACAAATCCGTAAAATGGTCAATAAGGATGTGAAAGCTTCATATACGTATTAAGCATGCTCACGTATCTCTTCTTGTCAAATTTTAGCCGTCAAAGCACTAACCGCAAAAAATCATTAGATCGGTAAGGCCAATCATTACTATCTCGTTCGCTTATCAACATCCACTCCACCTCGCGCTGAATTTCTGTTCGCAAAGTTTGGCTACATGCCTGAAATCTTCCAACCAATTTAGGCCCGTCATAACATGAACGCTAACAAGGGAAGAATGATTAGGCAAGTGGCCTTTTCAGACAGTATGTATACCATAATGGAGAGCATAGAACGCTGGTTCCAAATCTGTCTTTCTTATCTGCGGAACATTTCCAGGGTGCGTCAAAGGTCTGGGAGCCTAACTTTGCAGTACTGCAATTACAAACATACTGGTGGTTTTGATTTCAATTTTATGCCGCATGATGCTGCGGTCATCCTCTACAAAATACACTTTACATAGCTGAAAATGGCTGCCATTTGTTTTTGTAAATTTGAAAATTACCAAACTAGTACTTTTACGAAGCGGAAACCAGAGAAATTAGTATTTACAATTTTTGCTATAGCTAGAGATTCTGTTAATATTTTACAACACTTCGATGCACACAGTATAGAAGAGGCTTTGCGCTATTGAGTCGTAGTTTTGCTTTTGCCAGTAGTTGTTTTTGCGTAAACGGAAAATAAAAGTTTGCAAATGTTACCTACATGCCAGTGGAAATCCGTCTTCAAAACAAATTCAAAAGCTATAGAAGAGCAACAGTCTGAGACTGAGGCTGTAATGTTTGCATACGTCTTTTGAATACGAATATATTGAAATTCAGTTAAGAGACTACTTTTTGTACTTTAAATGATAATTTCCCGCGATTGTAGCCACATTTCCGATATGCGACATACACATGCATTTCATTTACAAATCCAGTATTTTTATTCCTAAACAATGCAAAAAATCTTTTGGAAGTATATTGTAGATAAAAGTTTGCTCTATCATGCTGCGCACTTGCCAAGGTAAAAGAAGCCGTTGTTGTGAAGGCGTGGGGTGGATATGCTTACGACTACCTTCATGTCATGACAACTGGACTTGCAAAGATTTTGTAGGGCCGCGTGGAAGCCAAAATAGGCAGTCTTCAAATCAAGAGCAGAGCTGTGTCTGCAATGGTTCGAGTTATGTGAGCGCCAAATTTTTTATATCTAGGCGCCTCCCTTCTCAATCTGTATGAAAAAGTATTAGACTTCCAAACTTTTGACGCACCTTGTATGAATGAGGAGTTGCGAACATTTATTAGAGCAAAAAATCCAATGTGTATTCAGGATAAAATGAGTTGCTAAAATCTTACTAGCCCTCAAATGGAGCAAAAAGGGCATTTTTTTATCCTAGAATGTTTAATGGACAGTGCTCTTACACTTATCACTGCTCCATTGAAGCGCTAGAAAAAAATTTACGATTTTTGTTCTACTTGCACAGCTGATTTCTTGCTCAAATAAATGCTCCCAAATCTTCGTCCGCAAACGTTTTGCAGGGAAGGAAGGCAGATTGAATTCGGTGTTTTAAGCTTATTTAACAACAAGTACATCCCATTCAAAATGGCCAATTCGGTTAAACACGCTTTCCTTGCAAGTAAAAAGTAAATGAATAGATAAGACCAATCATTAATTTTTGGGCGGAAGTAGCTTAATAACATACGCCTTGCTCTTCAAAGTTTATGTTTTCTACGTTTGGTCCAATTTCCTTAATTTTCATCATTTTAGGCAGATCACAAAAAAGTCTATCCCAACCCTGATTGTCAGTTAATAAATGCTTATTTTGAACTAACTCTTAAAACCATTTAAGTAATGGTCTTTTTAGACTGGCTATCAGAGGAGGGTCAAATGGAGGTTTGTTAGTAGCAGTATGTGCACAACAACGACCTGATCTCTATGGAGCAGTAGTAGGTGAAGTGGGGTAAGTGTGATCGAATTGCTATCTGCTGAAGTCTCATTGCAGTCACATTTATAATATTTCGAGATAATGGTATCAGAAAACCCTAGCAATTAGCACCCCCAGTAACTCTTTCTATAAATGTCAAGCATTTAGAGTAGTTTAAGAGTATAATGAGGTGTTACGGTAACTTTGCAAAGTCACCTTCGTTGGTTACGTTTCCAGAGACTTGACTTTCAATTAATAAAACGAATCGAATTTCTCTCAAAAGTTCAATTAGCTTTGCACAAAAGATTTCGGTATGCTACACCACTTCAAAAATTTCCGGGGTTACCTGCTCACGAAAAAGTTGGGAAGCACCTTAAAAAATTTTTCGGATTGCGTGGCTACAGTAAGTGGGAAGAAGAAGAAAGGTGCGAAGCTATCTTTGGGCGAGTACTAGGCTTTCAGACAAGGTTTATCAGTCGGCCTACGGCTGACCGACTGGTTAAGTTTTAATACGCGTTTACATCTCCATATCTTTGACAGGCTCGTTTTCAAAATACTAGGCTGTTGCATAAGTTCTGTCCGATTTTTTTGCCTCATGTTTGAAGCAGCTGTTCTAAGAGAATTTCATCTCTAATTCGATACGGTTGGTATCATTGAAAAGTGCTTTCCTTGCGCTTTCTAAAGCATACCAGAATTCAATAAAATTCTTAGTGTACGGAGATCACAGGCCTAAAATCTCTAAGTGGCCGAGGTACGTTCTATCCCTAGAAATATGTCCTTGCGAGGATATCTCCACAATGCGCCCTTCAAGTCAGGTTCTTTCATTGGCTTCGGAATAAGGGTATGGAATGCTAGTATATGCAGAAGTTCGGTCCCATGAAGAATACGTCTTGCTAGTGAAATTTATCCTCGAACATAAATCTTTGGTATAGATGTTTTACAAGCAATAACTTTCTGCGAATAGAAGTAATCGACAAGCTCAAAGTTGGAGGTGCTAGGGCAAAGCAAGAGCTAACAGGGCCCATCCACCAATTCCTTTTCGGCGCTCACGTCAGTTGTAAAACGTTCGTAGTTCATAAATAGGTATGCACACATGTGCTGAAGCGAGGTCAAAAAGTGGCTAATTTTTTGTTCGGTCAAGAAAATCTCTCGGCAGCGCAAACCCTATGGGCTCTTTTATGTTGCATAATAATCTACGAAAATTTCTCTATCCATCCATTATTAGAAAAGATGCCTATCAATTCTCATAAGGGAGCGTTACCATGTCAAAAAAGACAGATTCGAAGAAAAACGCTGCGAAGTTTTTGCATTCTTGGTTCTTCCTTAACAAAGATTTGCCCAGATCTCAATATGCATTTTTTAGCCAAGGGACTGCTCAACACATAGAAACTAAGACCTTGGAAAAAAGTTGACTCTGAAAGAAGTTATGACATTTTAAACTCAAAAATTCAAATCGGACAGAACTTATGCAACAGCCTAGTACTTGGTTGTTAATGCTGTCTTTTAAGTTGATTAATGAGTATATGCCGTACTTCGACGGCGTCACTGCCTTCGGGTTAGTCAGTGCGGGAATGGGCCCAGATGGCTTGAAAATAGCCAACGAATCAACTAGTAAGCTCTGTCACTTCATTCCATTGATTGTGTTCTTCAGTCCTTATGGCTTTTCAAGTTGATAGAAACGGAGTAAGGCAACTAGCCCTAAAAACTGCACAGAAGGGTTGGCCTAGAACAAACCTGTGGCCTGCCAGCCGGTAAGAGCGGACCCCTTCTTACCTTTTCACTTTTGGTAGAAAACTTTCATGAAAACATAGAAGTCAATATAATATCATTACATGCATCAAATCTTGGCACACATCACATAAAACGCTCACAAACCTTCATTCTAATCAATCTGAGCAGAAACCGAAAATTACAGATGAAAGACTACCTTGCGGAACCTGGGTTTCCAAAAGTATTCGAAACGGTAAACACATACGGGGGTTCTATGCACGAAATATTGCAGGGAAAGCATATCGCTTTGTTCACATGAAAATTCAACAACATGCCACCGACACAGCAGACCAAAACAGCGCGGGAATTTGCATCTAGAGGGACTCCGAAAGAATGACATTTAAATCAAGATTATGAGTTTATAACTAAAACTTATTAAAACTATAACTCATAACTAACTAACTTATAACTATTTATGACTAAACTTCTTTTAAACGTTGCAAGATTTTCTAATATGTAAAAGTCAAGGGTAAAACGATATTCTTCATTTTCGAGTATTCCTCGAAAGTCAAACACTGAAAAATTTCCATTTTTGTGTAATGTTGGCAAGTCACTTGTCCGATCATCGTCTCTTATTCCTTGAAACAATGCCAAGTGGTCATTCTCGAATTTGCATCTACAGTGCAAAGGGAAACTTGAAAAGTGTCATTATGAAGTAGTAGATTAGTATTTGATTTCCGAGAAACTTCCGAATTTTGAATTCTTCAATTGGAGTATTCATTCCTGGTTTTTGGGTGAAGCTGGAAGTGTAGGTGGGAATTTTGAATTTCAAGTACAAAAAAGTAGCGACAATAATTTTGCAGTTTGCAACTAGACGCTACATAAGTGAGAATGGACGTTTATAGAGGGGTTTGATGCACTTTGCATTCTTTAAATTAAAAGATTATTTCAGTTTGCATTTTTTCCCACCTTTCTTTCATAAGCACATTTCAAAGTACAGTGGTCTTTAACTGGATAGTGCTACCCTACCCAACTTCTAGGAATTCATTTCGGACTTCCAGCAGCATTGGTAACGCACAAATAAAAGGCTTAACAGTATCTGTCCTTCTTTGGTTAATCATTCTCAAGAAATGTTATTTCTCGGAATTGGTTTCGATTCCAAGCCAGAGCCAGCCACATCCGATACTGCAGAAAACAGGTATTATTAGAGGCATAAAACGTTGCAAATGTTGCATAATTAGAGTATGGCAGTTATTAGGCACTTAACTTCTCAAATAAGAAATATGAGGACTTAGATTATCACCTGCTATCTGTCTTTACCGAAAGTCAGCATTTATGAAAAGAATTTCTGCAAAACTAAGAGCTGATAAAAAATTTGTAACAAGACCTTTCTCTTGAGTTTGCTCTGTTCACCTGTTACTTGGACTTGTTTGCGGGTGAGGGGAGTCGATATAAAGATCTAAATCAGCGAAAGTTGAGCATGGCAAAAATATGAGATGAAAGCTTTCGTTTTTTTAGCCGTTCAACAAAATGCAACGAAAACATAACCTTTGAAAGAGGAAAGCTGCATCTAACGCGATCTTGATCAACGAATATATTTCGTTGAAGCCGATCAAAAAATGCGGCATTATTTTCGGAACGATGTGATATTAAGTTAAAATCGAGCTTTTGAAACTAAATTTTGAATAACCAGAAAGGAGAGGATACCAAGTAGCGCTGGAAAAATGGTGAGAGATGTATACGAAGAGAAGCGCCCTTGTCGCAAATTTTGAGTTGTGCTTTTCTTAGAATACCTAAGGGTGACCTGTATAAAAGGAACCTGAAAGCGTTGCAAATAAAACGATATCAATTATAACGATCACAAGGAGAGAGGAAACCCTTTAGAAACAAGCATAAGCATAAGCTCTTGTGCTATTCACCGATCTCAAGCCACTGATGCTTTACAATGCGAACTTGCATGAGCTAATAATTTGAGCTAATAGCTAATAACTGAGCTACTAACTAACACGTGGTTTTCGCAGTAAGAGGCGGTATGTCAAGTAATCAATTTGAATTTTACTTTTGTAGGTGGTTCAGTCCCCAAATGTGGAAAGAAAGCAAGTGCGGTCGCACACCCCCGTTCCGAGACAACTGCCGCCGAACCTTTACGCTCAAGCCAATCCCGTGAGCTCGGACAAGTTCACGACTTTTACTACCGTTTGATTCGCATGGTGCAACCTTATTACAGCAAGTTTTGCAACAAGTCTGCTCTACAAACCTTAACGAAAACTGTCGCATGCACTTTAGAATAAAGGGCTATGGTTTTGCCATGTACGCGCTCTCCAAGGTATTTGGAGTCAGCACATCGGATCAGCATAGGCAAGCATAAATTTTTTTGAGACGAGGACTGCCGAGCCACTGCCTTTAATCATTGAGTAAGATGATAAAAAGATAAACATTCATAACCTAACGTAGCTAAGAGTGACCATACATCACCAATGTGACAAGTTATAGTCACCAATGTTATCATTGTTACTAATGATACCACTGTTACCACTGCTAGCACTGGTGACATTGATTAACATTGGTTCCATTGGTAACAGCTGTGTATGGCGCTGTAATTCAAGGTACACGTCCAACTTCATTATTTCATTTACTTCAGCAGTTTCGCACAAAATGAACGAAATGGGTAAACATGACTGCCTATAAGAAAATATATTAGGTCGTTCCGAAAGTTTTTTCCGTTTTTTCAACCTATCATAAAAACAGGTGGAATGAAGGTAGAGAAACGCTTTAGGCTTTATCCGACGCTGATTTTCTTCTTCTTTTCTACTGTCATATTCTGTGCCGCTTGCTCTTGTGGTCGGTGAGATAATGGCCAAAATTTCGAACCCATGGTTTTTACCATGTCCAACTTTGGCCATTTTTCACAATCTTCTTTTTTGACTTTTGGAAAAGCTTTGATAGCAGTCAGATAGAGTAAACAAAGTGCAATTTGATGGAATTTCTTTGCAATTTCATCTGGCTTCTCAGTATTTTCTGAGATAACTTTTCCAGAAGTCTTCACTTTTTCAAAGTCGCAAAACACACAAACGCTCCGAACATTAGCAAATCTCCGGATTTCGACACTTTCAAAAGCCTTTTATGATTGCCCACTATTTTAACAAAGTAACTGAGTGTTTACCGCTTCGAAATATAAAATTTCGCATTTTACGTGTGCACTTAGGCGGGTTCAAAATCAAAAATTATGGAAATTTTATCGTCAAAAATCCCCCATATATTGGGAAGAAAAATACTCAGCAGAAAAAAGACTAAAAGCTGCACCGGATGACACCTTAGTTGTGCGCCGTTTTGTGTTCTATAGTTCTTGGCATCACCAAAAGTGGAATTTGAGCATCAAAAAAATAATTCTAAAGAATTTTCAAGGCTAGCTACAGACGCTGAAAAATTGGATTAAATTGCACTTTGTTTACTCTATCTGACTGCTGTCAAAGCTTTTCCAAAAGTCAAAAAAGAAAACTGTTAAAAATTGCCAAAGTTGGACATGGTAAGAACCATGGGTTCGAATTTTCGGCCATTATCTCACTGACCGCAAGAGCAATCGGCACAGGAATATGACAGCTGAAAAGAAGAAGAAAATCAGCGTCGGATAAAGCCTAAAGCGTTTCTCTACCTTCATTCCACGTGTTTTTATGATAGGTTGAATAAACGGAAAGAACTTTCGGAACGACCTAGTATATTATTAGGTGGGTCCGAAAGTTTTGTCGGTTCTTTCAATCCATCGGCAAACACGCCAGAAGGAAGATAAACAAAAGCTTCAAAATGTATCCAATGCAGAATTTTTTCTTCTTTCCAGCTGCTAAACTCATATTGTGTTTCGTTGCGAGAATGACGAGATATTTGTTGGAAATTACAACCACTCGTTTTTACCATGTCCAACTTCCACTAATTTTCAAAACTTTTGTATGAGACTTTCGGAGGAGCCTCAATAACCGGCAGATATTGCAAGCCTTTTGCCAACAGAAGCAATTTTTATAGCCTTATTGCTTGTCTTTCAGAATTTCTAGGATTTATTTTTTGAAGTGACCAAATTTTACAATCATCCCATTTTAACTTCGTAGAACATAAAATTCTGAACATTTCAGTCACCATTCGATGCAAAATTTTCTCCTCTTTCTAACACTTGCCTTTCTTTGCCGAGGCAGGCAAAATCTGTGGAAAAAATCGCAGTATATTTCAATTTCAGGAGTGCTCATTGACGTAACCTATGTTTCAGAATCTTCATAATTTGAAGCGAAAATCGCTCATTTACTTTGTAATTATAGCGGTAGTAATAATTATGTGTTGAAACCTCAGTTTTCCTTAGGTTTTTGCAGCGTTTGGTGCAATAACAGATCATGCTATTTTGCCAAAACACAAGACTTTTAGAAAATTATCTAGCAAAAATTTGAAAAAGCAGCTGAAAAAAAGAAAAAAATTGCATAAGTTGGCAAAAGGTTTGCCCTATTTGCTGGTTATTAGGGCTCCTCCGAAAGTCGCACACAAAAATCCTGAAAATCAGCGAAAATTGGAGATGATAAAAACGAGTGGTTGTAATTTCCAGCAAATATCTTGTCACTCTCGCAAAGAAACACAATGTGAGTTTAGCAGCTGGAAAGAAGAAAAAAATTCTGCATTGGGTACATTTTGAAGCGTTTGTTTATCTTCATTCTAGCATGTTTGCCGATGGATTGAAAAAACCGACAAAACTTTCGGACCCACCTAATATAAATATATTAGGTTGTCCCAAAAGTAAACCGTATTTTTGAATAAATTAAATTGCTTCTCTTTTCCTAGCAGACTTATGGCACCTTTCCATAGAACAAATCAAGCTCTACAAAATGACCACCAAAGATCCGTCTAAGTCGTAATCCAGGTAAAGCCAAAATCAAAAAAAAAATTTAACACCTGAAAGTTGGATTTTTGTGTAAAGCTTGCTTCGCTCTATCGATCGATACCCTAAGTCTACCAGGAAGATAAGAACGGTTTAATTTATCCAGAAATACGGATTACTTTTGGGACAACCAATATCAAGATGCATTTGATTGCAAATGGTGTGTAATAATTTTTCACATGTAGATTTCAGAGTGCTTGATATGCTGCGCTTCCATAAGTTTACTATCGGATCTGCGTGGATAAGCGAATACGGTAATCCAGATGACCCAAAGGATTTCGACTTTATATACAAGTTCGTAATGAAGAAAAAAAATGTTGTTTCTCGTTTAACAATCATAGATAAAAAGAAATTTGCGATGAATTCAAGGTACTCTCCTCTACACAACATTCGCTATCCCAAACATGGTCAATGGCCTTCTACTCTGATGAGGACAGGAGATCATGATGATCGCGTGGTACCTAGTCATACTCTCAAATATGCTGCTACTCTGTATAATACTGTAAGTAGCTGTCATGTAGAAAAACAGTTTGATAAATGATGACCAAGGTAAAAGCTCACCCGGAGCAAACCGAGCCACTTTTATTTCGCATTGAACGTGACGTTGGTCATGGAGCAGGAAAACCTACCGAAAAACGCGTAAGTGTACTGGATGTAAACACGATCGTTTAATTAACTTCATTTTCAGATTGCCACTACGGTTGACGTATTCAGCTTTCTTCAGAGAGTGTTGAATCTAGAATGGAAAGAGTGATCGACCAAGTTTGATCATCCATTACAACGTGACTTTCTGACACGAATTATACTGAATAAATGTGGAGTGGAGTGTTTAGAAGTACTTTGTCAAGATATGCTTATATGCGTGTGTCACATTTTTACTCATGCGCACATGACTGGAGTACTGCGCATAGCTTCAAAAGTAAATCCCTCTTGTTAATAAATTTTCCGATCTCGAACCTTGCACTAGTTGTGTTTCTTAACTCAGAGTTGACTTCATTTTGGCGAGGAGAGTGCACAACCAGCTCGTCGCTTATCATTCGATGAGAAGCTGCGGGAGCAGGGTTTGTAAAGAAGTAAATTTCGCTGATCGCGCCATGATGGTATTGAGTTAAAGGTGAGCCGAAACAAAGCCGCAGCGCAAAGCGCCACAAAGCTTATCATTTCCATTTATAACTTTTACACGGTTGCATATGACTAGAATGATACTTTAAAAGTGACCTTTGAAGGCAGTGACAGCGTCACATCTGACAGCCTATGGGGAGTTGAGCCGTGGGAGCAAAATGCAACTGATGCTCATCATAGACTGAATTGACCACTGCACTACTTAGCAAACCACCCTAACTGGTTAGGACTCGCTTTTATAGTTCAGAAATTTCGATGTCAGTTTAGCTTCGAGATTATCAGATTATATCAGATTAGGATTCTACAAGCAACAATCGTGGTTCAGTCTGGAGCAACCCAGGACAGCTATAGGCACCAGTGAATTCGGCCATGAGAATGAACGTAGCGCTTTAAGTAGTCTTTCTCCCTCCTAAATTTCCAAAAACGCTCTCACATCAAACACAGGCTTGACAGGAAATACTCTTCTTCGCCGCTCCTCCCTAGATAAAAGCGTACTGCGCTTGCTGATAAAAGACTTTTCCTTCTTGTAACTACTTCTGTGCCATACAGGTTTGATAGGTGGTCTTTATTCCAATTACACGGCCCAACGTTTCGACGCCTTCGTCTTCCTCAGAGGCCGGAAGACCACCGATATGCATGAAAGTCAGCACCGGAAGTGAGTGGTCGCGGCGGCCGACATTCCTTGCACGAACTAACTTCAATGTCGGAAGATACTTACAAAATAAGACCAATTATCAGTTGCGTTGGAGGACCCACCGACAGAATATCGTGGTTTTTGAACAAGATAGTGAGCCAATTGCTAACGAAGGTACCACCACATCTATCAAACTCACGTGAATTTATCGAACAACTGCAGAACGCCAAGTTTGATCCGAGCAGTGTGATCGAGTCATTTGATGTGACTTCGCTTTACACGAATGTACAGAATGATCAAGCTTTGCAAGCGTTGTCGGAGATGTTGGATAGATATGCCAGTACCATAAATATGTTCGGATTTGGCAAAATGCGGACCATGACCCTTATAAGCGAATGTCTAAAATGTAACATCTTCAGGTAGTCTGGGACCTACTATTCCCAGATACGAGGACTAGCTATGGGTCAGCGACTGGCACCAGTTCTTGCAGTTTGCTTTATGAGCAAGATCGAGGAACCGGTACTAGCTCGTATGCCGCTATTGTACTGCCGCTACATCGACGATTGTTGCATAGTGACTTCCACACAGTCCGAAATGGACGAGTGTTTCGAACTTCTCAATCGTCAATCGCAGTACATAAAGCTCACTCGCGAAATACCACACGACCGATGGCCTCCATATCTCAACGCACAAGTAAGACTATCTAACGGCATTGCAAGTTTTAAGTGGTACCGCAAGGAAAGCTGCAAGAACATTCTTGTCAATGTAAAATCTGCGCATCCTGCATCTATGAAAAGAGCTGTGATTAACAATATGTTCAAAACGGCGATGCAGATGTGTTCCGGAGAACGTGAACAACGCGAGCCGCGAAAGTTAGCTTCCGATATTGCTTGCAGCAACGTTCCTTCCGTTATCATTCCTTGCCGCATACTCGACGTTCTGGAAATGTTAACAGCGTTCAAAGCAGTACTAAACTCCCACTTTGTCTTCCATTCATTTCTGACAGTGTGAGCGCGGCATTCCAAAAATGCATTCAACGAGCACAACTGCAAGATGACGTTGTTTTGGTGAATATTCCGAACAAGAATATCAAAACGCAGTTGGTTCGATACAGGCTCTACGATCAATGTTGTACATCAGAGCAATGCATAGTATGCCCGTATGGTAGATTAGGAGACTGCGCGAAAGTGGGGGTGGTGTACCAGCTTGAATGTCTTAGCTGCAAAGCATTATATATCGAAGAAACTTAAAGATCACTTGGCATTCGCATGAAGGAACACTTAGCAGATAAAAGGCGCCAAAGCTTGGTTTCACCGCTAGGAAAGCACAGAAGCGAGGTACATAAAGGGGACAATTTTGACATCAAATGTAAGATACTTTCTTACGAAAGGGAGATCTCGGCTAGGAAAGCGTTGGAAGCATTCTGGATATCTGCAAAGAATCCAGAAATGAATAACAAAAACGAGTGCCTGTCAATCACTGCTGATTTCCTTCCCTTCATATCGCTATGCCAGCTACAGATCACATTGCATGCGTATCTACAGGATGACTCATTCGTCCGCCGCGACCACTCACTTCCGGTGCGGACTTCCACGCATAGCGGTGGTCTTCCGGTACGTCATCTTCGCTCTGCACAATTTTTGCTAGCGAAACTGAGGGAAAGCCGAAAACTAGCTCGTTTGGAGGCGATGTTTGGTGGTATTGAGTTACGGGTGACACTTTCAACCATTTTCAAGCCTCTGAGGAAGACGAAGGCGTCGAAATGTTGGGCCGTGTGATTGGAATAAAGACCACCTACCAAACCTATATGGCACAGAAGTAGTTACAAGATACGAACATGCCCAGGTTTTATGAAAACGGAACTTGGAAGTTATTAAGAAACTTTTCCTTCTTTCAAATATGCTATGGACATTGCCCTATTTGCTCTGAGCGCGAGGAGATTGCTTTGTCGCGCAATTGCTCAAAGAAGTTTATCTGACCCGTTTCCATTTCCTTCTCAAACATTTGGCTAATACCAAGCAATAAATCTCCAAAATAAAGCGATAAAAGGTTGGAGTAGTCCGAAGCAACAATTAAAAGGCCAAATTGAAGAATTGCGTTGTTGAAAGCTCAGATGAGTGAAACTGACGAGCAATGCTCAAATCTTCATTTATTAAAATTTGGGATGGAAATGTTCATATTGGCGTATGGGTCATAAGAATCAAAATAGGAACGAGCTTGAACTAATCCTATTGGGCCAAGTTGGTTCACATCAGCGCGTTTTCGGGGGCGCTTTCTAGGTTTTCTAACACACATTTTTTTCTTGGTCTCTGCAATATAAAAGTTCAAAGAGCGCAATTGTGCGATTTTGTTAAAACATGGCTGATGCTTAAGACCCGGAAAGCCTAAACCACAGCAGAATACGACGCACTCAAACTGGCAACTGACAGCGCGCAAAGTCATCACTCCTTCCTTGCCCACCTTAGAAATTTCGTTTTAAAAGACTTTCAAACTGTGGATTAAAAAGCCGACCAAAATCTCGTTTTTCGCATTTTTAACTTTTGTGGCTGCACTTTCACCAACTATTACTCAGTGCAAAAAAGACAATTAGGCTCAAATCACTACTGTGAAATATTCGATTAGGCTATCGAACGATTTGAATACTATACTCGCTAAAAATGTTGATATAATAAAGGTAAATTAATGGCATGTGGCACAACTCCAAAAAGGATGTTGCTGCCACACCCCATTCACTGTTGAAGACAGCAACTGGGAGGGAGGGGGGAGGGTCGTATTTAGCAATCGTGTGCCACACCTGCATGACCCTGTGCTGAGTGAGTATGAGTCATAACTGAGCGTTTAGAGAAGCATGGCAGATTAAGAAGACAGTATGATTCAGCGTTTGATGCTGTGCAGCATAGGTGCGATAGTGTGAGAATCTGCTCCACCCCTTTCACACCTAAGCCGAGACCAAGGTGACCTCCTTTACCAAAAGCCAAGAAGAAATCAACAGTGAGGTAAGATTAAGCAAAGGAGATATTTGTACGAAAATTGTTCGTGCATCGGAAAGGAGGAAGAAAATTTATAGGAATTCACGAACTTTCAGAAGAAAAAAATAGTAGCTTCTGTAGTTGCACAGCAAGTCAGCGAAGAAAGTTCCGTAGTACAACGTTCCCATCTGATTCCAGGGAATAAATTGCTTGCTTAAAGTCCGTTTATAGAAGTACCTAATGAAAGGGGTGCTTAGTAATTTCTGGAACTTACGAGTTTTCAAGATAAAAAAAATCACATATTGTGTAGATGAATAGCTGGTACAAGAAAATAGTCATCTCCGGAACCGCCTCGTCTCCCGCTGATAGCATGTCTGAGATCCGTGCAAAAAAGTGCCTAGGTGAAGGGTGTCCTAGGATTTCTGGAGATTTTCGAGTTTTTAACATAAAAAATCCATAGTTTTTGCAGATACAAATCTTTTACGCCTCGATGGTCACCACCGAAACCGTCTTGTCCTCCGCTTTTAAAAAATATATATTTTGCCTGGGGTTCATTACAAAAAGTGACGGGTGAAGGGTGGGTGAGACTTTTATTATGGGAGTGCTCAAGTAGAGGTTTTTTTTACGGGGAACGGAACTTACATACCCGAAAAGGATACCGCCAGGTAGTCATGGGGTTCATAAGAGGTGATGAATTAGCAGCAACATTAATTTGCACCTAACTTGCGTCGGAGACGAGCTGAATTTGCTCACGGGCTGACCATCATCCCACAGTGCATAAAACTGCAGAAACCGAGGTTATATGGAAATTCGATTTTAAAATTCAGTAATGAATTTGAGAATCCAGTTAAGGTGAAAATTTGTATTCAGGGATACTTTGTCATGCTGTATCAAAATTTGGTAGTGGTTAAAATGGTTAAAATGGTTAAAATGGTTTGGTTAAAATCTTAATTTCTCTTCTAAAATCTAAACTCGTTCTCACAAATTTCACTCATATTCAATGAAAATGGTATTTAGAGCTTTTCTATTCTATCATGCTGTCTTTAATATGCTAGTGTTTGCTTTCTTGAAATTTTTTTGAAATACTTTCATTATAAGGAAAAATAGAAATAGACGAAATTTTCATGGTTTAAGG